TATATATATATGTATGTATAAAAAAAATAAAAACATTGTACATGTGTGTGCGCGTGTGCGTGTGTGTGTGTGCGCGCTGTCTCGATTCTCGAGAGGTTCTCGCGAAACACTGCCGATTACGGACGAGCGACCACGACACTCATCTCTCAATATAATTGCCCTTAAGACTACTCTCTACGAAGAAAGTCGTCCGCACGTTCGAGCTTGCTGTAGCATATCAGGTCCGGCGATCTTTTTCTACGACGACAATGTGACACGACCGGAGAGTAGACGGTAGCCTTAAGAACCTACACGCGAATTGTAAAAGGTATGGACGAGAAGCGACGATGCATCCACTGCCTTATTTATTTTACCATATAAGTAATACATTTGATTGTCATACAGTATAGTGAAATAAAGTTTCGTAATGTAACCGGCCTCGCGCGAGGATTTTTGCGCATCATCGTCCGGTCCTCATCTTCCCGTATCATCCCGCGAAGAAGAACAGATATTATTATATTTGTACTTCCGCACGCGCGAAAACATACGAACGCTACTGTATCGATACGACAATTCCAACCGATACGACTTTCCGTCTGTCAGAGCTGGCGAAACGTCAGGAATAATGAAATTGAGCAGTGCACTGTCGTAACACCAAGCGATCCGTTAAAAAATTCCAGTGACAAAATCGATCGTAAAGATATACGCGAATGATTCTGCACCGATAATTCGACCAGATCGATGATCGTGACAATGACATGTACGCATTGACCGTTCGCGTTAAAAATACTTTCCATTGACAAAATTGTTTTTTCTCGGGGGGAGGGCAAAAAAGAGGAAAATGTCCAGCACGAAAGATTTCTCATGTATCGGCGGGCTGGAGAAGCACATCAGGATCGTGAAGGAGATGGTTCTCTTCCCGCTGATGTACGGAGAGGTGTACGCTAAATTTAATCTCAGACCGCCACGTGGTTTGTTATTCTACGGCCCGCCAGGTAAGGTGAAATATTTATATCGACAATGGGACTCTATTGGTACGTGCTTCGACTTTTATCAGGAACCGGAAAGACTCTCATAGCCAGCGTGCTGGCGACCGAGTGCAGCAATTCGGAGCGCAAGGTTTCCTTCATTTCACGTAAAGGTTCTGATTGCCTCAGCAAATGGGTCGGAGAGAGCGAAAAGAAACTTGAGAAGATTTTTTCTTTAGTTAGTAGCACATAGTTCTTTCATACAATCCTTATTATACATTTATTTTAATTTCTACACAATGTTTTCCTAAGCGTAAATATTCGGAAATAAAGTCGCACAATTTATCTTTATTTCTCTTAACACATTGGTGATAGGAAACTATAAATCTCATTTTTCTACAAATAAGCATTGACAATGAGAAACAAGATTCTTCATTTTTTAAAGAATACCATTAAAAAAATGAGTGTGATACATCTGTAAAATTCCTTTCAGGCGCAACAATCGAAACCGTGTATTATTTTCTTTGACGAGGTCGACGGTCTCGCTCCTGTACGGTCTAGTCGTCAGGATTTCGTCCACGCCAGTGTGGTCTCTACTTTATTGGCTCTGATGGACGGTTTGGACAATAATTCCGAGATCATAGTGATAGGCGCGACCAATAGAATCGATGCGATAGATCCTGCTCTGAGAAGGCCTGGTAGATTCGATAAAGAGTTGTACTTTCCTTTGCCTTGTTACAGCGCCAGAAAAGAAATACTCTCGGTAATTGATAAGAAAAAACCAAATAGCACAAGATATCCCAGTGTCATCCTGAACGTGCCTTCAAAATACCTAGAAAATGTCTCATGCTGAGACATCCATTTCTCTTTATCGTCCAAGATGATCTCAGGACATTTTGTGCTGGAAATATCCGAGAGAGAAAAAGGGGGAAAGATTGCATTAACGTTTCTCTTCGTGCGGTGATACCGTAGGTGCACATCAAAAGTTGGAAGCAAAAGCCGACGCAGAAATTCTTAGCGTATTTAGCATCGAAAACGTTAGGATTTTGCGGTAGCGATCTGCAAGCCCTCTGTGCCGAAGCAGTTATGTGTTCTATTCGCAGGAACTATCCGCAAATCTACATTTCCAAGTCCAAATACCACATCAACGAACGCCATCTCAAAGTAAGATAATCGGTGGCGAGATCAAAATTATCGCTTTTCCCAAGCTTCAGTAACAATAAGTATCGAATAATTCTACAGAATGATGCAAAATTAAAAAAGAATTCTTATTATTTTCAAATGTTTCACGTGAAATGTGTATTCGAAGTAAGTTTTCCGTTGAAAGAAGACAATCTTCTTCGTGAAAGATTTTCGATTGAAATCCAGTATATTTTCTCACATAAATATATATTTTATATAAGATACGTACATCAAAAGAAACTCGAGAAGATTTCATCAAACTCTTGCAAGCTTCTAAAATATATTTATGTAATAATTCAGCGCTGTGTGCGCCATATTCAGTCACTCAAGTCACCTTTTATCACTCTTTCTTGACAAGTCACTAAAATATTCACCATCGTCCAAAATGGGTTACTATAATCCCTTTTCTTCTTGAACTGCTGTTAAATTTGCAAAATATGGACGTTTTACATATATATTTTTGCCGCTTCTCTTAATAAAACTGTTCCGAAAGTGTATTTATATTGTATCACTCATACCTTTGGTCTTTCCTTGTTAGGAACTTTCAAATCGTACTTGAAAAGAATTCGCTACATATTAAGTTAAGTTGCTTAAATGATTTTGGTTATTCTAAAAATTTGACAAAAAAATGTCACTTTTGATGTATGAAAGATCACTTTTTGTCACCTTTCCCACCAAGAAGCAGTCACTATTTCACTGTGTGTATATATATTTATGTAACATTCATATAATATTTATGCATATGTAATACTCCTACATTAACACGTTAACGCAATTTAATCATTTCTCGTCGAGGTTGAGAAAGAAGATTTTCTAAAAGCGCGTCAGAACATCGTCCCAGCGTCGCATCGCGTCGTCGTCGCGCCGATCAAGAGCTTGTCAGCCAGGATACAGCCGTTGTTACAAGAGGATCTGACGAGCATCTTGTCGCGGTTGCAAGTACTTTGCCCGGTCGGCATGCTGATCTCGGATAACATGTAAGCGTCGAGAGAGGTAAACCCTGGAGATGGACAGCGGAGTGCGAAACACCAACCGGAACTGAACGTCGAACTCCGCAGTACAGGTAAAGCCATGTCGAAGTCAAACGGTTGCCCGCGAATTCTGCTGTGCGGCAACGATGATTCGCACACACGTCATTTGGGGCCCGCGTTGCTGCACACCCTGGAACACCTGCCGTGTCACATCCTGGACGTCACGACTCTGTTCGAGGAAACCGGGAAGGCGGCCGAGGAGGCGATGATACAAGTAGAGAAAGAGAGATAGAGGGAGAGAGAGAAAGACTACCCCTTACTACCGCATAATTGTCCTTAGATAAGTGTCAAAGTTGTTCTGTCGTGGTAACAGAAGATCAAGACCGCACGTCGCACCCTACCGGCATTGCTGTACGTCCCCGGTGTCTTGACCTGGTGGGATTTGGTGGACGAGATCGCGAGAGTGGTTTTTACCTCTTTAATGCGAGGTCTCGACCGATCCGTGCACATGCTGGTGCTAATGACCGCTCACTGTCGACACACCGAATTGCCAACAGAGGTTGCCGTCCCCCTTAAGTTATTGCGACGTTTAAGTCTTGCTGTTCCGCTCGACAAATGTTAAAGACGGCAGGTTAACGAGCGAGAAATTCCAGAAGGGAAGTTTGCAGAATTTATTTTAAATTACTTGAAATATGTGAGAAGACAGATCGAATATAGACTCGAGTGGAACGGCAGGACCAATTTCTTGGAAACGCTTTCCGTGAAATACTTTTCTGCACGTTTGCACATCCATGCATTTGACCGCTTACTCCGCAATCGCAGATCAAAGGAATATACGACGATAATCGAGGCGAGGTGTACGAAGTGGGATTGCCTTCGTCGCAGAAGCGGCGATCTTTCTTCAAGCAATTGTTCCTTAACGGAGGGTCCGACGATCTCTCTGACTGCTCATCGCAAGGTAATCGTTCCTCCAAAGTAATCACTTACCGAACGATCCCTATAAGCGCGTAATATTTCTAGAATATTACATGAATATTATTCAATATTAAAATAATATTCTTATAATATTCTAAGAATGTTATGTAATATTTTTTAATATTATAGGAATGTTCTATTGATGTTATTTGTCCAATTCACATAATATTCTTATTATAAAAATGTTCTTAGAATATTCAAAAAATAATAGTAAGAAACGTATTTTTACATAAAATTCTCTTTGTTTATATAATAAAACGATTGATATTGCGATACATTTGAAATAAAAAATTTCAATTATATATATACATAGAGTTGAATATTTCAAAAAATATATAATATTACAATAACATTAAATAATGTTATTTTTTTAATATCATTGGGAGTAGACATATAACCATCTATTAATATTCCAGAAATATTATTTAATATTAAATAATATTACACGCTTATAGGGATAATTGTGTCAAAAGATAAATATAATTCTAATAACACACGTAACAGATCAGATGCAAATCCTAAATCCGAGGAAGCTCAAAAGCGAGAACAGCAGAAAGTTAAGGAGCTCCGTACGTTCTACCGACTCGAACGGAATATTAGGTACGTTTAAGAGTACGAGCCTCGCACGCAAAGATTATCGATCGTTAATGTATACCGCAATGTCTTTGTAAAGAAATTAGCGTGACACAAAATGCAAGGAAGATTAAAGAGAAACGAATGCGCGAAACAAGCTCGAAACTGTGCAATCCTTGCACTCGACGTTTTCCAAATCCAATAACTGTCAATTGAAATTTCAGAAGTCCAGCTCACATATACATCTTTTTAGATAATTATTTGATTTCACGTCTGCAATGTGTGACTCATCCTTTGAGCCAATCATAAATCATTGGCTGCGTTCGGTAGAAGCTTGATAGGCGTTTTATGCTGCGCGTTGCCAGCAGCTTTGTCGTAGGATTTTCTGCTAAACAAAACAAACGGCTTACGCTTTTCCAACATGTCTACTAATTAGTCGCCGTTTTTCCCTTCGAAAGGCTGGACCGTTTAGCAAACACGTCAGAGGGAAATTTTTCAATAATTGCGGAACTGCTGGCAATGCTTACCAAGTTACTTTCTGTGCTGAACGCGCGCAGCCAATGACTTAATTGGGGAAGCAGTTAAAAGTGTTGTTCAGCGAATAATCTGCAGCGTGAAGCGCTTTACTAAGCTTTGCCTTTTCTATTGAAAACGCAGAAATTGCTATTGATGATCCGACGAATCTCCTCTATAAGCCCTTAAAGCGACAAGTACTAATTACAGAGAGAGAGAGAGAGAGAGAGAGAGAGATTCATAAATGTCTACTGACCGTTACCAGGAATGAATATCAAGAGAGAGTGCAATGCATCCGGCGAGGGGCCGCCGTCGAAGCGGCAGAAGACGACATCCGGCGGCAATTCTGCCAGCAACGAGAAGCTCTTTTACTCACAGATGGAGGACCTGGTCGAAACGATCGTTCGATCAACGAGCGAGTGGCAGAGTCACTTGCTGGAGAGCCTGTTTTCGTCCCTCGAATTCACAATGGAGAACAACGGGGACTTGTGCGCGACTGTGAATGAGTACGTTGCGCGTCACGAGGAATCGAAACGGGCGAAAATGCGCGCGGCGCAGGAGGAAGATTAATCGTCGAGCGAGAAAAAGAGAAAGGGGGAGACGGCGAGACGTTGTTCCTCCCTTCGACGCTCGTCAGTCAACACTGTGTGATGTCCGAGTCCGTGAAACGCAAAACGCGTCGAAGCGCGATAAGTCTTTATTATAGCCGCTGTTATAAGTCGAAGCGCCATCGAATGTAGTGTAATGCGCGATGGCGACAATAAACTCGATGTGCTTGTCCACAGTTCATCCCGTCGTGTCGTGTCAGCGCGCTGTCGCGCTTTTGATGCGCCGACAGGCTGGATGATATACGGCTATGCGATGAGCATCTCTCTTCTCCCTTTGTGGACCATAGACCTAAGATCGAATCGGTTCCTCCTCCTAGAGAGGCCCTCGCAGTTCGCAGTAGAAGGGGTCTTCATCGGGAGGAGGCCTCGCTTATCAGTGAACGCACGACTGCTGTGCGATGCTGTGTGTATCGTGTTGCGCTCTGTATCTCGAGTGCAATCGTACTTCGGCGAATTCGTGTTGCAGGAAGTCGCGTACGTCTAATCGTTTCGGTGGAAGCGACGTATTTATTATATATTTTGTCGACGTGGGCGTACCGAGCAGAGAGAAGCCGCGCCGGTATATAGCCGGAAACTCTCCACCCCTCTTATCATTGTGGCTCCGGCTCGTCTGTCAAAACACGTGCTATCGACGATAATAATAGAGGAGAAGCGACCGGGAGCTCACGCAAATAACACGGTAACGTACGGGCATCCTGACTGGTAAACGGTGGTCGAAATTTGTCTTCCTCGTGTTCCTAACTCTCTCTTTCGTCAAAATTTCACCGATCGTTAACCGCATTATTAGCTTCGTAGCTTCCCTGACAGAGGCGTATAAAACTGAGGCGTATTACATGTTCATTAACAAATATTTATTACAAACATACAAAAAAGTATATGTTAAAAAATCGTAAAATATTACGAGTGTTCGGTAACGTTGCGACAGCGTTACAGAAAGGGTAAAATCTTCGCTGATACTTAAGCACTAGGGAAAACATTTCGGTAAAAATATCGGTCAAAAAGAAGTAAAAACAACAAAAAATGTATATAGAAGAAAAAAGGAAATCTTCGATAAATCTTTCCTCTTAAACAAAATTTATATGCGACTTTTCTGATGGACGGACTCTTCTTCGTATGTCCCTTAGTTACGGAATTTAAAATGAAACTAATGGTGTGTTAATTTAAATAAAAATTAACGCAAAGGGTATGTACCATTAACGTAACTATTGAGATTAGCTAATAGACAGCTGATAGAGAAATATCAAAATCTCATCATGTACTTAGGTTTTACTCGTTAAAAGTGTGATTCTAAATGTTTTATTTACATTTAGGACACACAGAAAGAATTCATAATGACAATCGACGTTAACGATTATGAAATATTGCATCATTGGAAATATGTGTTACTAGGTTTTCACTCTTATCAAGAATGAGATCTTTTTATAGTCTACTCTGAGAGTATTTCATACATGACATATAACATATATGTCATGTATGAAATACATGACATATAACCATTTATTATCACACACGCGCAAGCACAGGCGCAAGCGTAAACGCGGGCGCGTGACAAACATATATTTATATTAATAACATCCGTTATCCCATATAACAGGAAACCTCTCTTGGAATTGACAGATAATTATGTACATTCCACATTTGTGTTGTACACTAAGCCTCAATGAAACCTTAATGTTTACCACACCAAAACCCACAAATCTTTCTAATCGTTTGTATCGTATGTAAATATATAAATAAATATATAAGTACATTATGGCAATTAATTATTCAGTTAACATGTCATTTTAGCAGCTGGACATATTATAGTATATCATATCATATTATATCCATATATAATGGAAGTAAGATGAAAGACAGATTAGTGAGTTTTGACTTTAGCAAATATTAGTGCTTTATTGAAGATTAACCTACACAATTACAACACTTAAGTAGTTTGTTAACACGTTGAGTACCACGCCAATTTCATGTGACTTTCCATTCATGCCGCGTGGGTCACCGATGGCCCACGTAATTTTTACTACAAGATATATTTTATAATATTTATAAGAGTACAAAAAACGCTCTCGTGAAGAAGAGGTAATGTAAAATATATGCAGCTTGAACAAAAAGTTCAACGTGGACCACCAATAGCCCGCGCGGCGCTCAATGTGTTAAAAATAAGTAGAGTTAAAAATAAGTAGTAAACGAATATATAGAAAAAGAAAGAGAAGAGTGAGCTTTCTTTGAGTCCGCGATAATATACAAAAAATATATATATTCGCTTAAATAACAGAGAAATCAAATAAAACATAAATATTGGCACATTTACTGATCTGGTTTTGAATGAGGTTTACGACTTACAGACGTCGTGTGTCCATTTCAATACCATTCAATAGTAAGAAATTCTTGCTATATTGCTCGATCCTCTGAAGCAACTAATAATGGTTGCTTCACTATCATTACAATATACCATATTGCAGTCTTGCTATTTATTACAACAAAAAGTTCATCGATCCCGTGTACTCCTCTTAGCCGTTGTTGTTAATTTCCGACACATTGTTGCAGTATTCAACTACTGTTGTGTAATGGCGCAATGACTTCAAATAGATGTCCAGTTTCTCGTCATACGTTGTCCCGCACATAAACGTGGTCAGGTTCGTCGGAAATTGACAATCATCGTCCACGATGGCCACACACGGGGGACAATCCCGCGAATCGATGTTGTTGTTTACAACAAGTATAGCATCGTCCTTATCGGGATAAATAATCTCTGGCTGCGTGGAAGCTACATACATTTGCTCGAGAGCGTTTCGCACCAGCATCTCTCTTTCCGTACGATTAGGCGATTCGTGATTGATGTCGCATTGCACTTTCCCTCTAGTAATTCGTAACACTTCTTGCACGTCATCGTCAACGACCGGATCAACCCTCGCTGACCGTCTCTTCCCGTCAGTTGGAGCGAAACGAGCGGTCGGACGCTTCTTTACATCTTCATTGCAATTATCGTCGCTCTCGTTATCGATAATTATTTCTATAGGTTCCCTCGATGAATCCGTCGATTGATCCATTGCTCCATTCTCCACAGCTTTATTAGACCAGAATAGGTGAAGACTTCGGTTGGACGAAGAACCCGGTTCGACAGTGGCTGTTGTTTCTGCGGGCTCGTTGACTCGCTGGCAAATGACGGTTTCCCTAGAATGGTCCAGTGAGGAGTCATCCTCGCAATACAAATCCCGATCTTCCAGAACGATCGACGTGTTTTCCGCTACAAGATTTCTTCTCTCCTCCTTGTTTCTCCTTGGCGAAGTACTTCTGCCACGAACATCTATAGCATAAACGGGACTTCCGGCAAACGTATCCGCCTGCGGATAGGTGACCTCACGATGATATACGTGCCTTGCGCACAAAACGTCATTCGTGCTGAAAGTCGCGTCTGTGTTCGGTGTATTCGAGATCTCAATAGAACTCCTCTCCGGTGCACCTGTAGAGCACGCTATCGCGGCGCCTTGAACAGACGCCAATTTACTTCGAATGTATCGATTTGTAGCTTTATGGGGCTGTACACATTGTGTACGGCTATTACCGACAACACGGTCCGCGAGAGACAAATCGATATTCGTACCGTCATCTTGACGTTTCTCATTCTCATGCGTGCCAGCGTCGAAATATTCGCTGTTATACGTCTTCAGGTATTTCCGATGTAATCGTATCTCCGTCATCTTTACACCGGCGATCTTGATTATCAGGCGCAGCTTGCGAGCTCGCCTCTTTTCAAGTACTTGCTTTTTGTTGATCTGTCGCTTGTGGGACTTCAAGTCCGAAATGGCATCGGACTGCTCGTCACACACGTCGTCATATTCCTGACAGACGTTCTCCGCATAAACATCGCGGTCAAGGTCAAAATTGAGATCACTGTTCAGCACATTTTCGATCTGGCAGTGTCGCCATTGTATGTGCATAGCAACGTCAGTAATGCACTTGAAGTCTCTGCCGCATATCTGACATGTACTTCCGATTATGACGACGCTGCATTCTCGCAGGTTCACACCGGAGGGAAAGATTAGGCCACTTCTGTTCGACTGCCCGTCGATAGGCACCAGCATCTCTGGTACCAGTAGACTAGACCAGCCTCTTATCGATCCTGACATGATGTTATCTCTCGCTCTCTCACCGCTTATCTTTCTTGCTCCCATTAATCGCACCGTGCACGTGATCCTGCGCAGTTCTCGTGCTTGCCTATGTGGCAACTGTCGAAGCTTGTCGTAGCCGCGATGAACTTCATCGAACTTCGTCCTAGCTCGGCTGTGGCGCCACCTCGTGTGCGTATCACCGTGACGCGACCTGGCGCCGACACAAAAGACTTTGGCATCGTGTAAATCGAGTCGCGTGTAACATTCGCAACAACCGAACTCGGACCGGCCGTCGTCCAATATACTCATTGGATCCGGATTACAGATCTTCGGTTGTTGAGAATGACACGCGGTTTATTGGTTTGATTGAAAAGTTACCTCGCTTTTTCCTTCATATGCACCAAGATTAATATGATTTCACTCATTTAATAAACGTGTCGATTAAATTGTGATAATCAAAGCGATGAAAATACATCATAAATCTATGAAGTAAAAAAAAAAACAAAAAAAACGATACATGGGTAATATTGATAATAAATGTAACACTGAAAACGTTTTCTAAAACAATACATACACTGTGAAGCAGAATGATATAATTATACGTTGCGAGAGAAGTTCTTGTTGTGGAAAATATTGTGAAATATTGAGAAATTATATTCTTAACGATATTATATCTTAGCCATGAGGGCCATATTGAAGTTATCTACAAACGCTTCAATGTTTTCATCGATCCGTTTCTTTTCGAGGTTTGGCCGATATATAAAATCAACGAAAATCACTAATATAAATATAAACACGATGATATATATGCCCCCTCATTTCTTAGGTTAAAAATTACATGATTTTTAAGATCGAAACCGTTATAATTAGAATTATTTATGTGATTTTCAATTATATTTTGTTTCAATGGAACAATATTTAATACATAATGAAACAAATTTTTTGTATTGAAAATCAAATATATTTCCCCTAAATAATATTTTTTTTTTCTATTAAACAAAACATGTTTTACTATGGTGAAACAACATTTTTATTCAAACAAATGATATTTGATATTAAATTGTTTAACAATTAAACAAATCGAAGTTTCTAATCCAAACAAACACACATACGAAGTCTAAAGAAACTTTGTTCTCTATGTTATATCTATATCTATATGTTTTATTATCCATCATGTATCGAGATATTTCATAAGTAAATAAAGTAATATAACTTTCCATAATCTTTTTATGAAGAAACATTTATTTTCCTACCTTGTTGTATAAACAGCAATCTACGATAACCTTTGAGAAGAGTTCCGTAATCTTGTATTGAACTTGCTGCTAGCGAATAGACTCACTCAATTTTGTATGTTAACTGAAAGTAAATCGTCCCGTGAGGGAAATGCTTCCCAATTCTACCATATCATTCTGCGCCAGCTTTTGATGGTTGGTCAGGTAGATCAACCGACCAATCACCGAGAGCTGGCGCAAAAAAACATGCCAGAATGGGAGAATATTATTTCTCCTCTCACAAAAAGGATTCGTTGCCGGTCGACCGGCAACCTACTACCGGCACACCGCATGTCTATCGTCATTGCGACATTTGCTCTTCATACTTCGATATCGAAGATATAATTTCAAGTGAGATAGTTAATAAGTCAATAAATCTATACGTATCTTTCATCGTACGATAAGCTGATATGCAAACATATATTCACGAGAATTCATTTTTCCTCTAAAACTTTATTTGTAAATGGCCGGCATTACAATCAGGAAGGTATATTAATTTTTTTTTTAGATATGTTCAAAAATATATATAGTAAAAATATTTATATTTCAAGAATGTGTGACATATTTAGACATATTTAGTAAAATGAAAATTGTATTAAAATACAGGTTCTTGAATTAAAAACATGCAAATAAGAACATTTAAATATAAATATGTCTGAGAAGGAGACAGATGGTTAATATATGACTCCAAATTGAGAAGACAGAAAAAATTAAATTTTTAAAACTTGAAGATTTAACGTCGATTTAATGAGATAATCTCTTCCATTTTTGTCCATAAAATATTTTTAATCTCTTCAAACATAATTTTCGCGCATTTTTTCCAATTATGGAATAATGAATTATGGAAAAATAGAACATTTTTGAGTTATAAGTTAATCTGAAATTTCTCAAAGAACATTGGTTCTCAAATCGTCGTTGTCACGAATAGAAGTGAACAAATTTTACGTCGTATACAAGATATCGTAGCAGCTATGCTGACGTGGCTCCATCGTTACGACAGATAGAAGGTATACGCATACAAAGGGAAGTCATACATATGTAACACATATATGGTTCTCCTTTCATGAAACGAAATACGACCTAAACATTCCTTTATGCTATATAAATGTTTCCATTCCTTATCGCTATTGCATGCTACTCTCTTGACGATGTCAAAGCGTATTAGTACTTTCGAAACCGAATTTAATTTATTAAGAGATCATTCTCCTCTTTTTATTAAAAGAAATACAGAATTTTGCGACTTGTATTAAAGAATTTCTGACCCAGAGTTTACAAATTCTTTTCTATATTTTTATTTGCAAAACATATTGACAAGTAAAAAAATATTTGAAACAACTCTATTGATATTTAGTTAAAATTACAAAGTACGGGACATATAAAACGATTTTCTAGTGCGCAATATAGAACAAAAGCAATTTATAATAAAAATCAAATTAAGAAATCAATTTTATTCTATATCGTACTAAAAATTTTATATAGGCTCTTATAAGCCCCATCCTTTGTAATTTACATTGACAAAAATTTAATTTATCTAACTTAAGCTGTTTTGTACATTAAGAATTTTTTATTGAGAATATTTCCAACAAATAATTTTGACACTGAAGGCTTAAATTTAGCATAAAAAATAAACCCGATCCTGCCAGGATTCGAACCTGGAATCTTCTGATCCGTAGTCAGACGCGTTATCCGTTGCGCCACAGGACCACACATGACAACCTTGTTTTAATATAACATTATACGTAAATATAAATAATATAATGATGACAAATGTATCAGAAGTAACCACAAAAAAGTAGTCAAATATTTACAAAACTCTTATTATGATCAATTTCTTCAAAGCTGTATATATAAATAGTATTTTCTCAATATATTATTTGGGTAAAATGTTCAATTTGAATTCAAGTCGAACTTAATTACAGCATTTAGACATTGCTTTGCTTCTTAGATATATTACGTAAATTATAATTTATTGCAAAAACTAATTTCCTGGTGTATTGACGAAGAGATGAAAATTTATGCATTAACAGAACAGTTTAATTATTAAAAGTGAACGCATTAACAAAGGAGTTTTTTTAATGTTAATTATTGTATATGTTAATTTAATTCTATATAGCATTTGACATCTATTACTATCCTTTTAAAAAATTTGTATTAGAAATTTAATTTTTTTTAATTATTGATTATTAAGAAATTGAGGCTCTTTACCTGCATCTATCAGGCCTCTTTTGCTTCGTTTAAATGTTTTAAACGTTTAAATATACAACATTCGACTATACTTATAATAATTACATTATATAATATTAATAAAATCCTTATTATTTTTCTAGATTGTTCGACCGCGGTAAATGTATCTGCAAACATGGATATTCATGACAGTACACATAATCTATATCCGTAAGTAATAATAATATATAATATCAATGCAACGTTTACAAAGTTCGAGACGATTCACGTTTTCGACAGAATGTGTTGCGGAAGAGAGCTTCGTCGAACGTGGATTATGCGAAAGTTATATATCTGGCGAAGACGACCTTCAAACTTTTGACTTTATTAGCAAGTTAAAACTGGACCTGTTGAAGGCACATTATAGCGGCGTAACGAAAGTCAGAGGCAGCAATCGTATGCAAACGGCGTACCGACTGGACAAAGACACTGATGTCACCCTTCCGACGAAGTATCGTTTAACATTAACATATGTAGAAGCGGCGTGACGCAGCAGCGTCTTGGTGCGCGATCTACCGATGTAGATCTACCGAAGTCTCGCGTTTGCGATGAATCGAAATAAACGTACTCGTCGGATATAATTTATACCTCTTTAATCCGGTATAATCTATAATTATAGATCTCGGTTGCCTATAAATTCTTTCCAATTATATCTAAAGTAATAATGATCCTTGAGTATTATCGTTCGCGTTTCGCCCCGTTAAAGCTATCGATTAGCGTCGGAAATATTCTTCGTGATACCGGAATTCCCTTCGCATATCTTACTCCCTTTTCAGGAACATCACACCCAACGGATTTCCGCAGGAATTCACGTTGGTGTACACGTTGCGAACCAGGAAAATACCGAAGTATCCTTGGCACATCATTAGGGTCGTGGACGCGGAAGGTAACGCACAGTTTCTCATCACCATGAATCCAAGGAAACAGACGCTGGACTTCTCACTGACTGATCGCGAGGGGAAATTGCAGACTGTCTCTTTCGTGAATGATCGCGTGAGTGTCATCGGTCGCGTCATCGTCATCGTTCTAGAATAACTCGTGTCGTATATTGTTGCGCGTAATCGCACTATATCCCTGGTTTAAACATACGTTTGCCAAATGGAATTGCCACTCGATCGATGGAAGCAGAACCTGTATCGAAAGTCGCTGAGTTTTACGGGTCAGTTCCGACGCGTTTTTCTCCCATTACGACAAAAAGTTATGAAGATTGTTCGACTATTTCATGTCTCATTTCCGCATCGAAAGCCTTAAAGTCGAGCGGGTTTCCACGTTGACAGCACTTGTGGAATGCACTGTGGTCGTAAAACTTCTCGAAAGAGCCGTTCTTACGAAGGGACGGTAGAGTCACCGATTTTGACCAAACTCAGTGAGAATTAGTGCATCCCGAACAACTGACATACCAAGCAGTAAAGCGCACCGCTCGAAAATAAGCGAAAAAATCGAAATTGTAAATTCAGCCGTCCCTTAAACATGTTCAAATTCGTATAATTATTTTTTATAATTCATCATCTTTGTTACATTTATAAATTATTTTAATGTAATTTAATCTAAAACCTAGAGATAATTTTTTAAATAATTTATAAATGCAACAAAGAAAATAAATTGTAAAAATAATTATACAAAGTTGAATAAGTTTAAGAGACAGTTAAATTTACAATTTCGATTTTCTCGCTTATTTTTGCGTAATTCACGTTACTGCTTGACACACATCAGCTGTTGGGGATGCATTGTATTCCCAACGAATTTGACCAAAATCAGTGAATTCAACGTCGTGCGGTCCCTTCATAAGAGCGACCTACTCGGGAAACTTTACGTCCGTGCATTCCACAAGTGTCACTATCAATATAGGAACTCGATTGAGTGGATTCCGATGTTGATGGTGATACTTATGGAACACATGGTCGTAAATCCTCTCGAGTGGATCGCTTTATCGTTAGGAACATCGTCAAAGGAAAAACAAAGAGAAAGAATTGGAACGGCCGCTAAAGCGATTTAGCCGATCGATCATTACGAGCGTTTCGTTCAATTGTCCCACGAAATCGTTACGTAAGCTCTTCTCGCGAGACGCGCTCCGAGTTGCATAAAAGTGGGCGCGTGAATTGTCCCGTCATCGGGCAGATGTAAAACGCGTTAAGTCACTTCTCTCTTGCGCAATTGTCACTTGAAGATGCTTGCTACATTAAAGTCCTGTCGCGTGACAGAAAAACAGGGTTGTAGATTGCAATATCGATGATATGGCGATAAGAACGCATCATCGCAATGCACGGAATCTCTTCATCAATGAATAATAATCTTTTTGACGTTCGCGAACGTCATTCCACGCATTTTGAAACAATGGAGATTCTTGCGATGCGACACTATTCGCTAATCAATTCCATTGAACGGTCATTAATCTCTTTACAGATTATCTTATCTATAAGCAGATAAAAAGAAAAATTTACTTAATTAATTACATTTTATCTGTTAACATAGGTGTTCGACAAGAGCTGGCACAAATTAAATTTCGGAGTGTTCAAGGACAAGCTAGTGCTTCACATCGATTGCGAACACATTGGCACGGAGAAGCTGAGACCGCATGGGCCGATTAAAGTCGATGGCGATCTATCGATAGCTAAAATGAGTAACAGTAAAATCACAGTACCGGTAAGTCCTATTAGTATTTTTGATGTTCACATTAAGACAAAGTTTAACCATTTCTCAATAGATATCGTAAATCTTCCTGACATTAAAAAATGAACTACAATTAATAATAAAATAGAAAGAAAAGTGAACTCAACATACGATATCACGTATAAAATGATATAAAATTATTAAAGTTATTTCCTTGTAAATCTTTTAGTTTTAATTGGCTTTTCTCAAACACAAAAGATCATACAGATTTCACGTATATATGAAAAAAAGTTGAAACATATTTATAGAACCCACTGAGAGCGAAATTCTCGATTTGACCTGAACATATTTACTCTTTAACCGTAGACTTTTCGAGCTTAACTTCTCATAAAGATCTACTTGCGCATGTACACATCTGATGCTGACGAATGGCATAGCTATTATGTCACCGCGAGGAATGTACATCTTCGCGAGATAACGTTACGTGTCGGCCGTCACAATTAAACGGCCCGCTTTACGGGAAACGAGGCTAGAACTGTCAATAAAGGAGGACGCAATTTAATGTTAGACTCTTTGGCCCACATTCAAAACGATGTTATGCGACAAATAGAATGCGACCAATAAATAGAAGCATGTAGACGTGACTACGACGTGTGACATTTGAAAAAATCTACTAAACGGCCAAGACTCTCTGATGCACAATCAACAAGAAGAAACAAATCAATAAGAGCCAACGCAAGATAACTCTTATAGGAATTCATTTGGTGCTCCTTTTTTTATTATTTTTTCACACGGACTGAGTGGATTTTGTAAGTGACATCTTACGTCGGCTCTTATCAACTTCTTCCTTCTTGTTGATTGTAACATTTAGATTACATAATCTCCGCTATTAATAATAATACAGTAACTGTAAAAATTTAATGAAGCATTAGTGATATCCCAAAACTGTTAAATTGCTCGAGTACTTATTTACATCACACGTTTAGATCGACATACAGTGGATGGTCTTAAACTGCGATCCCACGAGACAGGAACGAGAAACATGCGAGGAACTGCCGGTGAGTGTTCGATATTCGATATACTTCGAAATGGCTTAAGATTCGCAAAAATTTATCTAGCGCTATTTATGCGATCACAGATTAATCCAGGCGTTCCATTACCGCAAATAAAACCTGTTTGCGAGATGATTTGTCCGCAGGGGCCACGTGGATTCAACGGTACTGACGTAAGTTCCGTTCGAATTGCGTAATACAATTTTTATCATTTATATCTATTAATATTTATACGTATCGGACAATCACGAAAACTCGTACGGTTTTCAATATTAAAAATAAACACGCTAATAAAATCTAATGCACTCTCGATGCGAAGTCAACCTACGTTAACCTACTTCGGACTGGGCTTAAAAAATATTGACATTCATAAGATCCAAGTATCGGTTTTAGGATAATTGAGATACAAGGAACTCAAAAAAAAAAAACTAAAATCAGAATTTTCCGACCAGTAGTTTTCCCTGGAAAATAGTCAAAACATCTATCTTGAGTAACACCTGGCATACATTTGTTGAATCATATCATAACTGAAATGATCATTACCGACGATTTGGATTTTTGGCAATACAGAGAATGGCTCCGAAAATTTTTGCAAAATCGTATAAAAGTACATCATTAATTCCTGAAATTGGCATTATTGTCTCTCAAAATGACCCTCTTCAACCTGCATTAATCGAATTAAATTCGATACATGTTGCGATCTTTGAGTTCTTATCACGAAAGTTCTGAAATCAGTTCGTATAGACATATCACTACCGATTCATGAACAAATCAGGGATTACCTGGTCCACCCGGAGCACAAGGACCAATAGGTGCACCAGGTTTAATTGGACTTTCGGGACAACATGGACCACCGGGAGAGCAAGGCAAAATAGTACGTTGTCGTTGTTTATTTCGCGATCTAATAAATAGTTTTTATTCCAATAAAATATGAAAAAGTGCATGTGAAAGTAAGAAACATACATTTTATCAGGGAGTTCCAGGTAATATCGGTGCAAGAGGATTTCCAGGTGTGCAAGGTCCTACAGGACCAATCGGACCCGCGGGTCCTCAGGGATTACAAGGATTTCCAGGGCGAAAGGGCGATCGTGGTGAAAGGGTAAGCGTTGTGTCGTTGAATCTTCATTCTCGGACCAGTGGAAAAGTTCTCTTTAAATATGATGAGGTGAAATTTCGCTCGAAAAACAGAGTGACAATCCGAATCACTCGGACTCAAGTGAATTCTACGCTCTGAATTGTCAAGTGAATATTTTCTCTCGAGACTTAAGAGTAAATCTGATGTATTAATTCAACAAAAAAGAACAGAACTAGTATTTTCCCAGCATGTTCACTATTGCTTTACGAGTAAAAATACTGCCGTTTTTGTCACTTGTTTCGAATGAGATTCCAATTGAAGAAATTTCGAGAATGCAAGTGGAGATTCTCTTTGCGACGAGAATAGCGATAGAAAAGTAAACTCCAAATAGGGTGATATGGGTTTCCCGGGTCTGAAAGGGGATCAAGGTCCTCGAGGATTCCCGGGTCCGCCAGGGGACATAAACGGTACGAAAGGAACTAAAGGAGAACGAGGAGATGGTGACGCTCCAGGATATCCGGGCGAAAAGGGTAAGGGGTATCACAAACGTACTATTCTTTAGAAAAAAAAAATCTCATAAGCCGCTCAATTGAGACAGATTAAATTCGTTACGTTTATTAACAGCGACCGAAGACATGCTGAACGATGTAATTCGATCTCGTTAGAAATCGTGCCGGGATACATATAACCGTGTTATTCTCGTCGTCAGTGACGGAGCGCGGGAATATGACGAAACGAGTGTTCTTGATTATCTCGCACTCGACATAGTCGCCACTGCAATATCTAAATCAATTTGCCGTCCAATTTACGATTGTACCCAGACGAGTTCAGTGATCTTACGTAATGCCTGCGTTCGTATACTCGTGAGCATGTTAATCCGCTAATGGAAGAATTTTAATGACATGAGCCATATACACAGCAAGCTGAAAATCGCTCGGTTTGATGAAGCTAGTCATAACGATAATGATCTCGCTCACTCATCGATAATGCGCCAGAAACGCCTGTGCCACCCATGCCATTTTGTCTTTAAGACTATTTCATGGACGTTGTAAAAAAATCACGATTCTAATAGCGACTATTAAACGATCCGAGCGACGCACGAGATTCCACGCACCGATACCCGTTGACCCAGATGCGCTTATTCGCAGTCATTGTAAATCAATTTATTGTAATCTGCCGCAACGTCTGCAAACTGTCCGCTTATAAGTAACTCGGAAGCCAAAGTCGACCGAACGTGTATCGGAAGTTCAACATTTTTTCACTGAAAATCTGAAATTAAACGATCAAAGCTCTTTCATGCGTAATCAGCGAGAAAAAATCCAATAAGAACCAATACACATATATGCGCGCAAGATTTCAATGACGAAACCTACTCAATCGTGGAAAAAAAATAGAGCAACAAAAACGAGCGACTATAGAGTTGTTCAAACGTTTCAATGCGGACCTCTTCAAGGCAGCAATTATATAACATTTTCCTAATAGCGGAAACGTGAAAATTTAACAATAATGTTACAGGCGAACGTGGAGAACGAGGATATCCGGGATTAGATGGGTCTCGTGGTCAGGACGGTGCGCAAGGTCCCCCTGGTCCTACAGGACTACCCGGTCCACCAGGACCCAAAGGAGACCTCACGTTCACTGACGCTCCTGGCATTCCAGGACCACCGGGCTCTCCTGGTGTAGCAGGACTACAGGGGTTGGCAGGTTTACCAGGATCGCCAGGAATACCAGGACCTCCGGGATCACCAGGAATACCAGGACCTCCGGGATCATCAGGCCAGACCGGTGCAAAGGGTGATGTCGGAGAACCTGGTCGAGATGGTTCGCAACTCTCTGTTCATTTACCAAAAATCAAGCATTGAGAGATTTTGTTAATATGAATTAATTGCTTCTTCATATTCTATCATGAAGATAAAAAGAAAGTATTTAACGTTACCCTTCAAGGTACACCGGGATTGACGGATAGTAGCGTGATACCAGGACCTCCCGGTCCCGAAGGGCCCGTCGGACCTCCTGGCGAAGACGGTTACCCAGGTACCAAAGGAGAAATCGGACCAATAGGTTCTCCGGGCCTACCTGGAGCTCCGGGAAAAGATGGAATCCCAGGATTACCGGGATCGAAGGTACTTTATTACTTTGGATTCCCAAGCAACAGCATTTTATTGTATATCATTTTCTTTTTACGTAAGATAACGCATCCTTTCATGAATATTCGCCGTTGCATGCGATAAGGGACTTGCAGGAATGCGCGGAGATCCGGGCCTGCCGGGATCTCGTGGTTTAGACGGACCCATTGGAAAACCGGGATCGTCAGGACTAGATGGAAAACCGGGGCAAAAAGGGAGCAAAGGGCAAGAGGGCGAGCAAGGTCCTATTGGACCTCGCGGGTTACCGGGCGGCACGGTGAGGACAGAGTTGGAAAAGTTATTTTTTGAACTCATTACTATTACTATTATTACCTCTGATTTTGAAAAAATAGCTCATCATTATTCGATAAATAACAATACATCACTATAATTTCTATTACTTTTCTTTCGCCAAATTTTTAAGTTTTTTATTTCACTGTCGTCCACCCTGTAACTACACTAATAGACACAACAGCCTTTAGCGCACAATGTAATCAAGTTATTAGGATTTTTAATCGTATTATTTTTTTAATCGCATTATTGATTTATTATATTTATTGATTATTCAATAATATCGTTATCAAGGAACGTGTTATTTCCCAACTCTTGGTAAGGGATAAAGTATCGCGTAACAAAAACATTGCCCTTACATTTATTTAATATTTCGTATATTTAGGGCATGGTTGGTTCACCGGGTGCACCAGGATTAGAAGGAAGACCAGGTTTACCAGGGCTGCTGGGGCCACCAGGACCACCAGGGTCTCCTGGTCTCCCAGCTCAGATCGAAAATACACCTTATCCGAACAGCAGCTTCGATAACATCGGCAGTCCCGGTCTGGATGGTCCCAGAGGCCCGCCTGGGGCGCCAGGAATTGTTAGTATTTTGTTGTAGGAATGTAAGAGCGAATGCAATCACGTCCCGATAATTCGAAATAAATCGATTTTATGGTTTTGAAACAAACGATTAGCCAGGTGACAGGGGTGCTCCTGGAGAACGAGGACCGGAGGGCCAAATAGGATTACCCGGAATGCCCGGTAAGGATGGAGCACCCGGTTTACAAGGTCCGCCTGGGAACAGAGGTCAAACGGGTATGCCGGGACTTCAGGGGCCATCCGGTCGTAGTATCAACGAAGCGGAGATCCGAGATATTTGCGCCAGTGTGCTGAGAGGTGATTTTATCAGCGTGCCCGATCTCTTTCGCTCGCCGTCGACCGTTTCTCTAAAAAATTAATTGAAGTTAATTAAAGTTTAACCATTCCACCGTCTCTGACTCCCTTCATCTTCGTGTCCAGGAAGAAACGGAGGATAAATTAAGCTTCAATTAACTTTAATTAACATTTAGGGCAACGACGTGATTTTAGTCATGTCGTTGAGAAATTAATTAAGAGAATGATCTAATAATCTAATAATTTAATTGAGAGTGCATTCTCTGTATTCTCGCGGAGCGAATGAAAGACACAATTCGCGTCCAGGGATACAATCGAAGCGAATTGTCTTGTCAGTCTCTATTCCTCATCATCCTCCGTATACACGCAGAACGGATGACCGAGATGGCAGCGCTGATGCAAGGCCCACCTGGTCCGACTGGCCGAGGCCGTCCAGGCCGTCCTGGATCACCTGGTCCCCAAGGTCGCCCAGGTACACCCCCGAGTCATCAGGGTTACCGATTCCCACGCGCTTATCATTCGCGCTCAGCACGACATTAATCGCATTAAAGATCAGCTACTACTGTAGGTCTTTCTTGTTAGTTTATAGACGAGTCTTGGACGTAGAGCGGAAGAGCCTAACGCGAGAAGAGGCGTTTGGCCAAACAACAACCACGAGAGCATCGTTGTCATAGTAGTCGTCTAAACAAATATGCTTGAAGTATCATCCACACGATATCGCATACGCATACTTAACATTGTCGACGACGTCGGGATTAATGTCTCGCGTTGCCGTGCGCCCATAAAGATAATGGTATACCGCATGTGTCGCAGAGAGGCTGAAAGAACTAACAGATGGTCTACGAGGGCTGCCCGGATTACCGGGATTGGCTCGACAGGGTCGTCCCGGTCGAGCCGGAGATCGGGGTATTCCAGGTATCTACCTACCTATCTGCTCGAAATCAACGCGAGCACCGATAACGCCTGGAATTTTGGCCTGCTCAAATTAACGGAAGCTTCTTTCGTGCGCACGCGCGACGAGTAGATTAATCGAGTAATTTCTCTAATCATTTCATCAGTCACCTCACATGTCTTACTGCCGAATCTTTTTTTAAAGCGGAAGCTACATCGTCTCAAGAGATCCGTGTCTGTAGTTAATTAATCGTAACTCAATATCTTGATTTTATCGTACGATCGGCCTTGACAAACCGCTTTAATCAAAGATATCTGGATATCTCTTGTATGAGTCTAGAGACTAGTGCATGACGCAGTTATTATACATGTTATAAAGTATACTTATCATCTTACTTACGTTTAGGAGATCTAATCAAAATTGATTCCGTCCTCGATCATTCAGGTGACCCGGGATTGCCAGGTTTGCCGGGAGAACGTGGATTCGTCGGTTTACCAGGTCCACAGGGTCCCACGGGATTGCAGGGTCCGCCTGGCGAACGTGGAGAGAAAGGAGACAGAGGTCCAGAAGGGATCGGTTTAGAAGGACCACCTGGTCCAAGAGGGCTGCCAGGTTAAACAATATTGTTAATTAGAAATCAAATATTATTGCATAATTTGTTTGGAAAGGCCGTATGGAATAACCGTACTGTGTTTTAACAGGGCCTCCTGGTAACGATGGGGTTGGTTTACCCGGGAGACAAGGAGACAGAGGCGAACCAGGGAGACCAGGTAAAAGGATTTATGTCTTCAAAAAGGAAAGGAAATTCTCTCTTCTTAAAAAAAAAAATAATAAAAAAAGATAATTTCCTTTGAAAAGAGCAGAACATTTTTTTCCCGTTTTAAAAAGGAAAGAAAATCTAAATAACATTTTTTAGTGTATTTAAAAATGCTTCATAGAATGGTAGACAGAATATTTCATTATGTATAATATTCACTGTAGCTTTTATAACTTTGCTTAGTACGAAATATTATACTAATTCTTTGCTCGCAGGTGTTCCTGGTATAAGAGGAACGCCAGGAGCGCACGGGCCACCCGGATTTTGCGAATTCTGTAATTATCCCAACAATAATTATCTGCAGTACAGTCGTGGTAACGAGAAAGGTCCTTGAGATCTGATAGTGAATTCCGATTAAAACAAAGGAAATTCTTGGACAGCAGGAAGAATATCGTAGAAGAGTTCGGTATATTTTATAAATATAATTATAATATTTCTTAAAAGTACTCAAGGTTTAGCATTTATCGCTAAACTAAATTTCTGCGGGTCCTTAACAAGTCACTGCCGCGCAGACTTCTCTTTCAATTATGACTTAATTACGATTTTAATATTGAAAAACTCAGTGTATTATACATATATTATTTAATAAAGCTTACTTTTTCGATATACTTGGACTGCGTTTGATTCGGGCGCTGTAAGCGTCATTGGCTGCGTTCAGAAAACATAAGCGATCAATGCGCAGTCAATAATTATTGGTTTTTACTGTTAAATATCTAAATTTTGATCATTAGTTGCGTTCAGAAAATACAACGGTTGTATGATTTAATAATTCATTCAATTAATTGGCCAAGATTTAGGGATCTAACAGATCAATAATTATTGACCGTTCATTGATTGCTTGTGTATTCTAAACGTAGCGAATTATGTTGATGAATTACCTCAACCGCTGTACAACCGTCGTGTTTTCTGAATGCAACCAATGGAAAATAGAACGACGCTTGCTGCGTCGCCCGAAGAGCTTAATGTATCTGTAGTCATTAGGTCTGTTCGTTTTCGCTGCACCGCTGAACTAGTGCAATAAGTTAAAGTGGGAAAACGTATACTTATCTCACTTCAATTTATTGCACTAGTTCAGCGGTGCAGCGATAACGAACAGACCTATTAATGCTTCATTACGTTTTTAGGTTAGGTATGAGAAGTTTTTCATATATTAAATTGTCCCGAATATAACCAAAAGTGCGGGCTTCTCCTCTTAAAAGAAATCAAGAAATCCCTTTTCACCGAACAAGATGCAAGAGATTATTAAACAGCGACTAATAAAAGTTACTTGGGGAAGTTATTCGGTGTTACTCGCATTTTATCCTCGGCTCAACCCGATGACAAACTTTCCAAACTAACCTAATATTCATTCAAGCGTTGTCAATTATTAATTTTACGATATACCAATACGTCTGCAGACGAGCGTAGCACCGAAGAGACACCAATCGAAACGCCGTAGCCGTGAGCAACCTCGTCGCGTCGCTTCCTCCCGAGAAGAGATCGAGAGCGAGCGGAAATGACAAATAATAGCGCGCGAATCGGTAGCGCGCGCGTCCTTCCGTCCCGGAATACGAATTGTCGCGCGCATCCCGCGGTCCGATTCTCCGTTCGCCCGTTCACGCCGGCGATGGCGCCAGTGGCGCGTCGCCGAGCGTATCCAGCCTGTACGGGCCAGTGATGGCCGCGGAATTCGCGACGTGCGTCACATCGGCATCCGAGTGACGAGCTTGTTTATCGTAAGGCGGCGAGATCCCGGCGAGAGAGAATCCACGCCTCGCCCAATCCCTGCGTCGGGCTCGTTCGGGCGGTTGCGCGTCTGTCTCGACGGTGTGTGTCGTGCGATCCCGGACCGTACCCGACGGAACCGCTACGCCGCTGCAGTTCCGCGCCGGAGCCGACGAGAGCGACCGATTGAACGGCCGGCTAACACTCGCCCCACGGCTAGTTTCCTCTCGCGACGGAATCTCATGGCGAGGTGGGAGTGATAAGGATAATACGTGGGACGTTTCCGAGGAGTGGACGGAACGGCGACTCTACGCCCCCGTCGGTACCCTTTTTTCTCGCACGCTCGCTGGCGACACGCGCACATCGAGCGCCCCAGGTAGGTAGGCAGGTAGGCAGACAGGCAGGCATGGATAGATTGGTACGCCGACCGGTAGAACAGGTTAGGTGCCTGCGTACCCTTTAGTAAGGCTATCGCAGGCCATCGCGAGGTCCACGTTCTTCTTCTTTATTACCCGCACACTCTTTCCTCTCCGGCGATTTTCCCTCGGTCTCTCTCTCTCTCTTTTCTTCCTTTTATCCTCTCGCGATGCCCCGATCGAATATTTGCCTTCGAGAGGAAATCTGGCGTAGCGTGCGTGACACGACCGATAAGAGCGGCACCGCGGAGTTGTCGACCCCGCTGCGAAACGAAAGTGCTTCGTGATTCAGTGGAGTATCGATAATTCGATTTTGACAATTGACGTATCGCCGCTTCCTGCTGTGAACGGTGAACGTCCCTCCGAACGGCACGCCGATGAAATTAGCGGAGATAATTAACAGATGTTGCCGCATCATTATCGTACGTTATCGAGATTATTATTTTATTGAAGTCGCCGGAAACATATTTGAGATGTCTATTTGATGCACCGCGCGCGTAACGATTCGGCAAAATTGGCGAGTCCGTGTCCGAAATAAAACACCGATACTCCGACAGTATTTTTTATTTCAGAGTGTAAATCGATTAGCTCGCGCGTTCTCATCGCGCGGCTCTTACCGTTAAATCGAATGCGATGGCTCGATATAACGACGATGGTTGTAATCGACGGAACATCGAGGTCAACGCGCTCATCATTTACTAACGAGGCCTTCGGAATTTCGAAATCAATCCGTCTGTGCACGACACGCTGTCGGCATCGAACACGTGTGGTCGCGAATCTGGCTGAAGCCTCGCTGTTAAGCGCGACACCGAGTGGATATGAGAATATCGTAATGTTGATCGATGACGTTATACGCACCTGTTTAACGTCAAACGTCAACGCGCGGGCTGTTTTCGGCGCAAAAGTACCATATATCTCGCGGTATCTGAAGAAGCATCTTTTACGAGACTGTACCTGTATGTGTGTGTGTGTGTGTGTGTGTGTGTGTGTTCTGTGGCGCGATTAATCGGCGAAAAGATCCCTGCTACATTGTAAAAAAAGAAATTTCAAAGAGCACTCTCCCAAGCGCTGCGCAAGCGCGCAATTACAAAATTACCCCGCGCTTATCGGTCACTTGGCTGGCACCGCGCAGATAAATTGAAGTATATACGTAGTTCGTTTTTTTTTTTTTTAACTTTACTACGTTACACTCTCTTTCACTCGCGCCACAGAATACTCGTGGCGCGTGGAATATCATTGCTTCACGGTTCCGGTTAGAGACACAGTTCACGCCGAAATGTATAGGCGCAAATTGGAATTATAAGTGAAGCGCTTGATTGAAAAAAAGGGGATGCCGATAAAGGGTATGAGAGAATTAACTCGCTGGTTGCACGCGAATTACGCAGAAGACGTACGGAAATGCGGGTGTCTGCGTACTGACGTTTACGTCGTACCAATTTCGTTTACCGTTACCGTCACAC